TCTCACGTTTGCGGACAGGAAATCCAGAGGAAAGGGAGTCCCGTCTTGGAAGATTACACGGACTGGATGCTAGACCAGATCAAGGCTGAGTGCACTAATCGCGGCCTAAGGCCTCCAGGAAGTCGTTCTACGACAAACTGTTGTTCCCTTTCCTGAGAATGCAGCGTACGATTCTCTCGCACAGCCTGTTGCTGACCAGAGTATTTTCAGTGCGAACTTTTCGCCGCCCCCAGCAAAAGAAGATCGGGGGCTCGCCAGCAAACAGAAAATGCAAAGCATCAGCCACACCAAAAATCCGAAACCTTATCAAAAATAGCAAAGACATTAGAAGATATCTGTCGTCCAAGGGCATGAAAAATAAAAGTCACGTCTTCGGCAGAAAGGAGAGCTGCTTCGACAGATGGCCGGCGTTGTCAAAATGCTGAGCCTCCTAAAAGAACATCCTGGCCAAAACAAAGAAGACATGACCTTCTTTGAAAGCCAAAAAGGGCGAATCCACGAAGTGCTCTAAGCTCGATCAGATAAATGATAGTGATTCTCAATAATATTTTAAACACGGACAAACATTGTCTTTTTTTTTTGCTAAATAGATAGACGCAGGAATCCTTGACTTTGAATCTGCTTCCACATTTCCGCTTTCATCATGTTATCACGACAGTGATCGATAACCACGTGGTCATCTACTATTATTCCAGTACATTGTTTAACTCGTCTTGTCCGTGTCAAGTCTCTCATCGATGCAAAATTGTGCAATAGAGTTCATACAGAGATTACCTCATGTACGTTCTTTAATTTGACTTGAGGTGGCCGCTGAAATATCTGAAATTTGTTTACTAGCAGACCGAATGCCATTTCGCTGCGTATGAGCAGTTGTGATACGTAAAAATGTAAGCATCACGGCTTCGACAAAAGTCATAGCTAAATAATAATAGCAAAACAGTAAATGTACGAACCCGTCAATAGCAGTAGCACACGCATCCTTTTTATAACACCTTGCGAAGGTATAAGCTCGAACGCTGAAGCTGCCGACACCAATTCTTCTGGAGATTCAGGAAATTGTAGACGAAGTTGCGGGACGAGAAGGAGCGCATCCATATCACAGTATGGCTGTCCGAAAGAAGTGCGGATTGGACGTCTTCACTACCTCTCTAATGTCATGATGACTACCCCTGCAAGACAACGGAGAGCATGTGTGCCGGTGTGAGAGGCTCTACCCCCCGTTCTGCGTTTAGATCGATTTTGATTAAGAATCCATAGATATGGTGATAACATTTTATTGTGCTTTGCATTGATTTTGGCAAAAGAGGCCAACTAAAACCGTTTTAAAAGTCTGTTTTGAGGAGCACATCTCTTAGTTAGAATCAAGCTGCCTTGATCAACAGTCTGAAATGTATCCCTGAAGGTCTGAGTTAGTTTAGGTTTTACGGCGGCTTGCCATGATTTAGCTGATAAACGTCCGAATTGCACAGATGAAAGAGCATTTGAGAGTTCTCTCCCGCAGTTGAGCCACCTTCACTTTCACACAGCAGCACTACACTATTTTGAATCAAGTGCAGGATGACCTCTTCTAAT